CTCTCTCTCTCACACACACACACACACACACACACACACACACACACACACACACACAATTCCCCATCCCATGGCTTTGAAGTTGCAACTGCTTGTTTCTAATTTACTATTTATTTTAAGGAGATACAGAGTGGTTATTCCAGAGGACTGGGTAATGATATAAGTAACCAGTAATTGTTTGTTGGTCTCATTTGCACCCAGTGGGGTGCTGCCTTGGGGAAAATTGGAGTGGTTTGTAGAATCCAGAAGCAAAAGACTTATTTCCTCCTTTGCTTAGTTTTTTTTTTTTTTATCACCTTTTCTTATTTTCCAAGTCTAATGATTAAATATCTTTATTTGGTAATGATTGATCAATATTTTGCTCCAGCTCTAACTTACAATTTGATACCAGAAGTTTTACTTAAATTTGTCAATTAGTTCTGAGTCCCATTTGTTAAATGAAAAAAATCTTAGAACCTCTGTTCCAGGTTTTAAGTAATAGTACTATTAGCTGAATTTTACTTGGAGATGGGGAATTTGAATGTTATCACAGAATTCCTATATCATGAAAATCTTAGAGAATGTGTAATTCAAGTGATATTTCCAATAACTAGTAACAATATATACTGTGCATAGTATTCTAAACAAAGTAAAATGGTCTTCTGTCAGGAAAAGCCTATTTCTTATTTCATAGATACCCAGTTTATTTGGTCACTTCACATAGCCCTACTAAAAGCCTCAGAAACCAAAGAAAGAAAGATTCTCTCTTTAACTTAAACATAGTTATTTCTTTTTATTAAGTCTCAGAATTATTATTATAGTGTTTATATTGAATTAGCCAGATATTTCACTTTTTTTCTTTTTTGCAAATACTATAACAGTGTTATAGTGGTTCAGAGACTGAAAAAGTTTGAATAGACTGGAATTGCAACATTTTGAGCTATTTAAAAGTTAGTCTCAAATAATCATAGATTAATTTTTAATGATGGTTGTATTTATTTTACAGAAATTTCCTTAGTTAGCAGTCTGTTTGAATTTTGAAAATCTTCTACCTATTCCATCAAAATCAAACCATTTAGCCAAAAAGTATAAAATACAGTATGTGAATAATGTTATTGAATAATTCAACAAATTACACTTTATTTAAGTTACCAGTTGATGTACTAATGAGTAAATATAATCCTAATGTCTAAACACATAAAATTAAATATTTAAGAATTATTTTATTTTTTATGAAAAATGCCATTCAAGTGTATTCTTCCACCCAACAATATTTAGCTTTAAATTTAACATACTCAAATTAGGCATTTTCATTATGTTAAGCTCTGGTGATTATATATATATATTTGAAGTTACTGCATCTTTCATGATGAGCTCCAAATCTAACTGCATTTTAAAAATTTAAGCTTATTGATCCAGTATTCAGTTGTTTGACATTTGTCAAGCATTTAAGAATGTCAATATTTTCTCTCACATGAGTGTTCAATATTGAATTAGCAATTTTAATGTAATTTCAAGGAAGGGCAACACATTCTGGAATGTCTATATTCCCATGTTTATACTAGTTCTCTTTATCTAATTGCTTCTGTGGACACAACTAGTGACCAAAGACCATCATCTGTAATGTCTTCTCAAGGTCCAAAAACATCTATGTGAGTTAATATCAACAGTTTTATTCTTTGATTGTTTTGTTTTTCTTTTAACAAAGTATAAATTCAGATGACACTAATAACTCATTTTGGAAGTCCTTCAGGTTCATAAATGCACTACCTATAACAGAAATTGTATAAGGAGCAACCACTAAAAAATCTACATTTTATGTTCTGTGAATGCAGATTTTAGTTATTGAAGAAACTGTGTAGCTCGTCCACTGGTAATTTCATACTGTGTTTATTTTACTCTGAAATCAGAAACACCTAGGTATACCTACCCTCTTTCAAGGTCACTGAAATGTGAGACTATAACACAGGCAATATCATCAGTTTTCAAATAATAGTGGCTTTTTAGAGAAAGCAATTATCTCTCTGCCTCAGGATTGGTATGAGCCTCATATTAAGACTTTAGTCAGACTTTTTATAACTCCTGGAGAAGTGTTGTATATTATGGGAAGGAGGCATGAGAAGAATTGTGCAAAGCCATAAAAAGAAAAATTGGATATCTTTCTAGGCTTCCAAAAGGCAAATGTTTGGTGTTTTTATTGTTTTTGTATACAGAATTGTGATTTACCTCTTTTAACGTTCAAGAGTAAAAAAGACGACATGCCAAGTCTAAGTACAAATTATTCTTGAATTAAACATGTCATTGTTCATTAGCAAATTAAAAATTATAAGATAAAATTCATAGCAGAAGTAAAAAAAAACACCTAAAATGTTGTTGTCAATATTGCATTTTGAAGCTTGAAGAGCATTGCTTTTCAAAATATTTCATTGAAATGCAGTTCTCAATTGTCCACTCCAATAGAGAGAAATAACCCAATGCTGTTGATTCTGATGTCTTATCAGGGAAGATCTTGTGAATATTGCTTTATACCCATAATATATACATATGGCCAATGTCCTTCAAATAACTAACGTACCATGAATATATATAATTTTTCCTATATTTTCAAATTCCCTCAGTTTGAAAAGCTCTAATTTAATGACATCTAATTAATTTTTGTAAACACTATTTTAAATGTTCTCAATTGAATGTTAAGAGTACTTGGTTAGTAATCTGATATTCCCTTTCCATGGTAAAATATATCTTTAATTATTTTCTATTTATAATATTGATTTAATTTTTTTAGACTCCCTTGGAGATTAAAATACAAAACTTCACAAATGGAGACAACAAGATGTATTTGAAGATTAAGAAATCTAACTCCAAAACAAATGCAGTTTCAAAAAACAAGAAGTCAGTTTGCTTTGTGTAAACTTTAATGTTTTCCCTTCTTATACACTTCATAAAATATTTCTGAAACTATATTGAATGTATTAATAATGTTCAAAAATTGAATGAAATATATAAATATCAAAAATAAGTAATATACAATGTAAGTTAGTCTTAAAAATCTATGATTTTGTCCCATTTTCATTTCTAATAATTATTACACTTATCCAAGAAACATTCACTGTAGTATCATCTAAGATTTTTTATATTTATAATTTCTGATAATCAATATTTCTCTAAATTTAGAATAATGTTCTAATATTATATTGATTTCTTAATGAAATTGTAGATTAATTTATTTCAGCTTCATACAAACTCAACTGGTAGCTTAATATAAAATTTTTTCTTTAGAATATTTAAATCTTGATGCTAAAACATAATCACAATGAATAGAGAGTTTTTTTTTTTTTACTGTTCTGAGAATTAAAACAAAAAACCTGTAGTAAATGAAAGAAAAAATAGCTGCCTTTAATTGAATAATTGATATTATTCATATCTCACTGATGTTATTTCTAAATATTCTTCAAAAATTCAGCATTTTTTGTTTAAAAAAAATTAAAGTGGGGGACATTTATACCAGAAAAGAATCCTATAATCCTTCTCCAGCTACATTGATGTTACATTTGACTAGTTATTATTTTATAATGGAGAACTCAAAATTAGAAATGCTCAGACTCCCTACAGATGTTAATGCATGACTGACACCACAGGAAGCCATAATTTACTTTAACAATGACTATATTTTCTTTGTTGCAGACAAAACATGGATGCATACACCTGAAGCATTATCAAAACATTACATTCCCTATAATGCAAAGGTAAAAGTAGTTCATATAATATTATTTAATTTTATTTTGGATAGTATTATTACTATTTATGGTTGATATTAGAAAAATTTTGACTATGCATTGACATTCCCTGGTAAGTGATTCCTAAAAAAAGTTACATAAATAAAATAGCTAAGTACTGTATGATATAGGAAGTTATTTTTTATCTAAATAAATGATTCTTGTTTTACAAAGTATGTCATTTTAGATTTCTATTTATCATATATTTCATGCATGTGTTTTCTTCTAGTAATTTTGGCTATTATTAAAATTATTTGCAATATAATTTCCTGTAGGCAAGAAAAGAACAAATAAATTATCTTCTTTTAAAAATATTTTAATGGTGTATTATTGAAACTAAAAATAAAAAGTAGCCTGGAAATGAGAAAAATAAACTAAAATTTTAATAATTGTAAGGACCATCCAAGAATATTAACGAACAAAATTTTAATAATAATTTTTAAAAAGTTCATTATGTTACTCTTTTTTTCAGGTTACTACATTTATTTTTTCTTTTTGGTACTGAGGATTATACTCGGGGGCTTTTTACCACTGAACCACATTCCTAGCCCCTTTTTCCTTTTATTTTGATACAGAGTCTCACTAAGTTGCTTAGGGCCTTGTTGGGTTACTGAGATTGGCCTTGAACTTGGGATTCTCCTGCCTCAGCCTCATGAGTCTCTGGCATTAAGTGGTATGCCACCATGTCCAGCTCAATTTGCTACATTTTAAAATAGAAGTAAAAATTTGTGTCCCATGTTTTTAAAACTTTGATTTGCTATAGTTGGGAAATTGGACAAATGAATGAATGAAGTTTGCTAAATTAATTTTAAAAAAGGTGCTGTTTTTTTAGTTAGTAAGCACCAAACAGAAATCTGATTCAAAATTTGAGAGACAAGTGAATTAAAGAATTAAGATCATGAATGTGAATGGGTCAAATGCAGCCTAACTTTGGAGACAACAGGGGGGAAATAAAATTATAATAGTTTTATAAGGGAAAATAAGGGTTTTTTAATATGCTTTTAGTTGGGCCTTTATTTTATTTATTTATATGCAGTGCTGAGAATCAAACCCAGTGCTTCTCATATGTTAGGCAAGCAGTCTACCACTGAGCTACAACCCCAGCCCAATAAGGGAAAGTAAGGTTTTATGGATTAGTTAACTATGTATTGGAGTATAGGATTAGACATAGAAATTATGTAAGGACAAGAAAAAAAAAACATTCATTGAGCAGAAAATCAGTAGTGTTTAATAAGAAAGTCTACAGTGAAGGTGTATGTCTGAATTAGCAAGAAGAAACATTTAAAAGGTCATCTAGAAGAAATTCTTCTAGAACTGTTGTGCAGTAGTGAGATGGATAGAGGGAAGCAACTATTTTTCTTACTGACTTTGTAGCAAAAAAAAAAATGTTCCAAAATTTTTTCTAAGCAAAATAATATTTTTGAAATTACTACAGTGCTTATGAATTTTCCTGTATATTTTGCATGAAGATTGACATGATTTACCATGCAAACTGTAGTTAACCAAACTAAGTTCATAGTATCTATCTCTTCTATAGATATTTTTCACATTAATTAATAAGTTATTGTTATGATACCTAATGTAGAACAGAATTTACTCCAGAAAGCAAGGATTATTTTAAAACTCATGCTCAGATTTTGATAATGATAGTGGAATTATATCATTCAAGTGAAACAACTGAGATTATTTATTTATTTTTATGGATTTGAAATTTCTAATTTGGAAAAACTGGTTTATAAAGCGTTAAAATATTATATTATAATTAGAACCACCTTTAATTTGAACTCTGTGGTTAATGTTTGTCTGCATGGACAAGTTGCTTGTGATAATTCATAGGTGCATAACTGTAAGACATAGCACACTGATTAGAGGGTTCAGAAACATCTTTTCAGACTGGGGGCAGTTAAATATGGAAGGATCATTTGGTTTTGTTAATAATGTTTGTCATATGTGTGCTAAGTAGTATTAAAACAATTTGAAAAAAAATCTTATTTCCTTCTTCGAATTACTCTATAGTATCTCAAAGCACTATAGTGTAGTATTTTTGTGGAGTTATTTTAAAGATGTTCTGTATCTCTTTGTTAGAGCATATGTTACTTGAAAGCTGAATCCATGTTGATAGGAAGTAGTGTAGATGGCCTTGGTTTGTATCCTGACTCTAAAACTTTTAGCTGTGAATCTTTGAGAAAATTATTTTTCTCTATTATTATTCATCCACAAATAAGGATGATACTAATAATTACCCACTGGAGTGTTACAGATATAAAGGAGTTAGATAAAGTCTCAGAACGATATCCAAAATAAAATAATGTCTCAGTAAATATTAGCAATCATTAATTTATATTTTATTTTCACAGGACTTACAAAAGTGCCTGTCTGGGTGATACACACACACACACACACACACACACACACACACACCACACACACACAATGAATTAGTCCCAAATATCTTAATAATTAAATAGTTACTTTTTATTGAATCTTAATATATGCCAAGTATTTTACTGGTGTACTTTCACTTTATTTCCATGACTCAGAAAAATGAATAACAATGTTATTATCACTTTAAAAATTAAAAAAAAAACAGCAATACTGAACAATTGCATCATTTGTCCATTGTCACAAAGCTACTGAGACAGAGCCAGACTGATGAACTGAAGTCCATCTGATTTCAAAGCTTTACATTTTTAGATGTATGTAATAACACCTGTTTATTTACTCCTTCCTTAAATTGCTTTCAAGTAGAAGGCATGTTGCTTAAACTTTATTGGATGCTGGTGACACTTCACAGCTTTATAACACATTGCTTATTTTCTTATGGTGTTCATTATCGTAAAGAAATACTGTAATATTAACCAACATAAAAGACACATCATGTTCTGTCATTCAAAAGCACAGAAAGGTGTAGAGATTCAGAGAAGTGTGTTACTCCTATGTTATAAAAGTAGAAACAAGGTAATATTCAGGGGCAAAACAAAGTCAGGGGCCATTTCAAGATGAGAAGTCTTAAGGGTAGGAGACCAGGAGAGTCAGTAAAGTATGAGGCACAAAATATGGCAGGAGCTGGGCGTCAGTATGAAATACTGAAGCTGACCTGGTCAATCAGGGTCGATCCAAGAAATAGAATAGGTGGGATATCTACACACATACTAAAGATTGGGGAAGCTGACCAGGCAAGTCTGGAGTATGTGATAGGCCTTTAGGAAGGGCATGCTGGAACCTCTTGCTAGGAACTGACCCTGCAGACCACAGGTGGGATTGTTTTTTCTTCCTAAAGGAACCATCAGTTCTGTTTTAGTTCTGTTTGTTGTAAGGTCATCTCAGTTTCTTGGATTAGACCCACCAAGATTATCCAAGGTAATCTTTCCTACATAAATTCAACTAATCATAACTATTAATCACATCCACAAAATAATTTCACTGAAACACATAAATTAAAATTTGATTTAATAATGGGGTACTATAATAGCCAAGTTCACACATAAAACTGAGCATAACAAGAACATATGATCTGTAAGAGTAAATAGGTAAATTAAGAAGGTTGTAGATGGCAAAAGAAAACCTGATAGGTTGTGAATTAATCAAATAGAACTTTTGGACAATAAATCTGCAGTGATATAAAAGTTGATTTGCATCAGTAGAGATAGGAAGACAGCAAACCTCTTAGGAAGTTGTTTTGATTGTATAACTTAATGGTGATAAGTTTACCATATGGTAGCAAACAAATGTGTAGTGGAAAATAAAGATTTATAAACCTTACTAACAAACAAGTGATGCAATATAGGAATAGACTGTGCATGGAGAGTGAGAGAAATATGTATTTTTATCTTGGTTAAAGAGAAAATGGCTGAAGATTCTCCTTACATCACTCATTTTTGGCATCCACTGGTTACAAATTAAAGTGAGAGTTTAACAACTCTTTAAGAATAATTTTCTCTGAGGAGATATGTAATAACATTTATGTTAAGTTGTCATTAAGGTTATAGTCTTCTGCTCTAATATTCTAGTATAGCTCCTATAGTTACTTATTTAGAATGCGATTTAGTTTTACATTGTTTCATTTTGTAGAACATTTATTTCAAAAATTTTCATTTTAATATTCATGGTGTAATCTTTACAGATTGCATGTGGAAATAAAATAATAGATAGTTTTAAAAGTATTAGTCTATGCAGCAACCATTAGTATGAAGGTTTTAAAAATGTGCATAAATACTAGTTTATTGGGAACTTTCACATTATTTTGTATACTCTGTAGTAAAGTTTTCAAGCTATAGGTTATAACCTCTGAAAAACTGCATTATGAGATCCATGTTGTTAATTATCAGATGCATATATTTAAAGATGAAATAGAATAACATAAAAAAGGAAATAAATTTTCAGAATGCATATATAAAGCATTGAATTGTTGCATAAAATTGTGCTTTGCATCCAAAGAATTTGAAATCCAATGCCTTTATAGGGTGCCAAAGACTTCACCAGATTTAACTAATTTAAATAAAAAACTAATAACAAGAATAAATGCTTATAAAAGCAATTAAATTTTTAATAGAAAATATGATTACTATATAAATTTAACTACATGTGATCATTAAATACAACATTTTACAGTGATTTCTGAAATATTCATATAAACATGGTCATTGAGTAAAAAGTAAATAAGGTTTAGTCATATATCCATTCACATATAAACTTATTCATTTGAATTCATCTCTTACTTTAAGCAAAGTCCTAAACTAGGCAATGGGTATTCATTAGAGAACAAAGTAGACAAAACCCCTGTTCTCCTGGGGGTTAAATTCAATAAGCAAAATATCTTTTCAGAAATGCCAATAAGAAAATAATAATTATATTTTATGGATTAAGAAAAAATTAATATTATTTTAGCATATTTTACCATATATGTTATAAATATGTGCCATGTAATGTAATATTGTACTTGTAATGTAATATTGATATAATATTTTATA